GGTCGAAAAGTTTTTAATAGTCTTAGAGTTAAAATAGTCTTAGAGTTAAAATATTCAAACGGATAATTTGGTGTCACGTTTAGACCTGTTCGTGTTGGAAATAGAAATGGACGAATTGGAAATATACTTTTTGAATGAAAAAAACCAATGAAAAACAAAGTGTTGGACCTCGTATGTTCCATACGTCGATTGTTCCGTAACATTAAAACTGTAAAACGCGAAAATAAAAATTAAACTATGTACAGAGACTTTCTCAATAACCAAATTACAACAACTTTGGTTTATACAGGACTAGCATCACCGGAACGAAGGTGGTCCGACGAACGTTCACCGGTACCGACGTTATTTTTTCCAAGAAACAACCGATCAAACGGCGATCTCATCGCTAGAAGCAAACCTTTGGGTGTACCGGCACGCACCTGATCACCACTTCCACCTGGAGACGTATTGATCGAACCTGTCCGGTACGGAGGAGTTATGGAGAATGGTCTACGGTCCAACCGGCCATCTTGGTCGAACCGTTCGTAGTAAAAATAGTTTTTATCACTCCCTAAGCTTCCGGTTCTGTACCCTCTCGCCGAACTCATCACTTGAGGTAACACCACGTGGCCTTTCGAAAGGCTGCGATTTTTCACGAGCTTATTGTGAATGTCTTCCGGTAACCTAAGCGTGAACCGATCGAGATTCTCCGCATGTCGACCGGTCCAATCAGAATTAGTGAAAATTCCGGCTAAATTCCAACCGGTAGACATAGACCTACGTGGCATACTCTGATTACAGGTCAACGCCACCGAGTCAATCAACCGCGCATCCGGAGAACCCAAAACCCTAACCCGATCATTAGCCGGATCAGAACCGGGAGGATCGTCCGCTAAACCGGGTGGTAACTGGATAGAAGCAACGGATTCGCCCGGTACGGGGACTAGATTGGCGCGGCAGAGAGGACACGAGGCATGAGAACGGAGCCAAGCGTCAATGCAACCAGGATGAAACACGTGGCAGCATTTAGGAATCAAACGCAGCGTTTCGTCGTCTTCGAACTCGTTTAAACATACCGGACACTCAAGGGCCTCTTTGCCGATCCTAAGCGTTTTCACGGTGGAGTATCGGAAAGTAGGAAAAGTCTCGATGACCGACGCGCTGAGGCCACGCGCCGCCTGACGGTTAATGACGGCGTCTAGGGAGTGTCCGTTGTTTTCCATTCCCATGACTCGTTCGAGACACCTACGGATATAGACGGAGAAAAACCCGAGAGTGAAGAAAACACTGACCAGGATGATCATGAGTATTGCCATGGTTGGATCGAACCGTGAGCTATCTCCGGTAACGTCTGAACCACCGCGAGTAGCTTGGCCCGAAGCTTGGCCGGAGAAGAGGAGTAGAAAGAGAAGTAGTTGTAGGATCGAACCATGATCATGATGACCACCGATGATTGAACGGTTGAGATTACTTCTACGTTTGGTGTTCATGAGGACCAAGATTTCGCCGGTTTGGCTCTCCGGTCCATGCAAGAGTCTAATGGACTTTTTTATGAAAAACAATAACCTAGTCTCTCTTTTTTTGTGAAGGGGGGAAAAAAAAATTGATGTGGAGATGAAAAGAATTGAAATGAATGATCGAAACTTAAGAGATGAAGCGATTTGAGGTTGCTCAATGGTTACAAAAGATATGTGGTTGGTAGGTTGACTTTGAAGTTTGAACCATGGCACTATTTAGAAGATGTTGCATCATAACTAATCGATATGTTAGATGATATAACATTAATTCTTTTTTTTTATAAATTAAAATAGTATATAATATGATTGTGATGTTTCCATCAAGAAGTTGGGGTGTATTTATCAATATAACTGGAGCAACCGGTTAGATCAAATATCGTCTAAATTTGTTAATCTTTCTGGTTCTATAATTTTTCAGTTTCTTATTTCGTAATTTTGCAACTCCTTTCTTTCTTTCTTAAGTATTTTAGGCTTATCCAACTTCAAAGCTAGCGCTTTTGTTTCACATTTAAAATTCAAAAACGAACAATATATATAAGTGAAAACTTATCCGTCAACTTCAAAATCTTGAATTTAAAACCATAATTTATTTTTACAATTTGTTTTTGTTCATAGAATCATAATGGTAACCTCTAGAACAACCAGTAGATGGTGGTTATTTGGTCAAATAAGATTTAAATAGGATTAGCGTTTTGCATAATGGGTTTATAACGCAATTTGGCATGAATGTTTCACGTTGACTAACAAAATAAATTAAATAAGTGATCACTAATTTTGGGTTTCCATCGTGCTTCATCCCATGTCGTCATCACGTCGTTTTCCAATTATAGGTTGTGTTCTTATGGAATAAATCTATACTAGTTTTTTTTTTATAACTTAAAAGTCTAGATTGTTCCATGCTCTTATTTATTATCCTTAGAAATAATAAGGTTTTATCCGATCATTTCCGTTTGGGTCAATGATTGGAGAAGTACATAGTTTGTTGACAGAAAAGGAATTTATATATGTACATCTTATAAGACTCAAATGAATATAGTTTTGTTGACAAACAAAAAAAATGAATAAAGATTTAAAATGTTTAATCGGATCACTTAATTCACTAAATAATGCCGTCCGTAATGTCTTTTTCCAAGCCATATTGTATAATAAATTCAGATAAATATTAGGCCATCCACATTAGAGACATTTTACCAATGTCTCACAATATAAAAATATTAAAAACACACTCTCTCTTCTTTTTACTCAACTTTATACCTTTTCATTCATCATTTTACTCAATTTTATACATTTTCTTTCATCCTTTTACTCAGCTTTTATTAATTTTATATTTAAACACACCTCAATTCTCTCTCTTATGTCTTCCCCAAGACACAATCTCTCCAAAAATATCCACTATCTCTTCTCTTTACTCAAATTTTATTAATTTTATATTTCAATACACCACACTATTTCAACAAAAAACACTCTCTTTCTTCTTTTTACTCAAATTTTAATAATTTTATATTTAAAGACACCCACATTTTATTACCAATGTGGATGCTCTTACATTTTGTTGACTACATTATTATTACGTATAAGAGAAATGGATATAGATATCCTTGTATAATAAATAGTGTTCGACGTTTGTATACGAGAAAATAAAATAAAAATTTGTTCTTAAGTGATGGGTAAAAGAGAATTAAAGAGTATCACCATATGGGTATC